TCCACGATCATCGTTACATTTTTTGAAAAAAATTAAAAATTTATTTCAAATATTCTGAAAACAACTTCCACCACTATATTTGGTTTCAAATGGTTTTTTTTTAAAGATTTTTGTCTTTAATTTCTTTTTAACTTATGTTTTCACGTATGACCGTAACAATGAAATAATTTAAGTCTGTTGTATGTTTGCAACTTTGCATGTATATTTAAATATGTGTAAGTGATAAAAGTTAATTAACCAATTTTATATGTCAGCAAAAACAATTTTTTTTAACAAAAATATTTTTTTCTATTTCTTTCACACAAAAATAGCACGTTCAATATTTTTTTATTTTTTTTTAAAAAGCACAAAACTGTGTGCGTATCTTAACAATTTTAATTAAAGTAAAAAATCAGAATTTTTCCAGTTTCATATAACTTCTACCCACGTTCTCACGAAAACAAACCACCTTCCAATTAAAATGCATGCCATATATATTTTAAACACCTTAAATTTACCCAAAACAAAAAGCATGGGAGTAAAACGGAAGTTTTTTTAGAAAATCATTTTATGGTGAAAGTTGAAAACATACACGTCGATACCTCTATTGAAGAATGAGGTAAGATTGCAACCAAATTTTTCAAAGATATTATTGTGAACATATTTGTATTTTGAGAATCAAATTCCATAAGTTATAGCTCTTGACTCTTTTTATTTATGAACTTATTTCAGGGTCCAATGTACATAATTACACCAAAATGACACTCTAGCAAACAACAACAAAGAGACGAAAGAAAACTTCAACTCCTTCCATATAGTATCTATATGTTATCTCATCGGTGGGGTATACAATATGAACACTTCAAGAAAGGAACACATGGTTTACCAACAATATACAGACGTAAGTTCATACCTAAATCCAATGTGGTTATTCTGTTATTTTTACTAAAACAAATACCTTCTTGCTATCTATGCTTTAATTGTTATGCTATCACCGTCCATCTCCGATGTCTCAACTTTGTCCCTAATTGTTTTGCTAACAAAAATAGTCTACCACTTCTTGGCCATATCTCTAATATTTCTTACCTTTTTCTCTTAAAAGATATGATGATATCACAGTGGCAAAAATAAAGCGAAGAAAATAAAGTACAATAGTAGAGAAAGAACGTAGCCAGGAAAATCAAATTCAAGTGCAAGGCCATCATGTCAACGGTTTTCTTTTTAAATGATTTTTTCTATATTTTATTTTCGCATTAACAATAAAAAATTGTAGAATTATTCGTATTAAAACGTTATACTACTAATTATCGGTTAGTTGATTTTAATTTTTTAAAAGAATGCAATTGTATGAAGTACTTAAATAACCTCGGTGCATAGCACTGCGCATAATACTAGTTATTATTCTAATCCATGTGTTAGCAGAGCAATATAAATTGGTTGATAAGCTGCTTGATGAGATGATCAAGAACATCAAGCAAGATCATCTCATCAAGCAATCCTGCAAGGTACGTGATGTTTGATCTTTATCTCTCAAAGCCAGGGTAGGTTCTTCACTCTTCTAACATTTTTTTTTAATTTGATATGTTATTTTTAGGTTTGGTTAAGGAAAGTACAAAGTTCTCTAAAGCAAAACGAAGAAGGCATTCTTAAGTTCAAATGCGGACTTGCAGAAAGCCTTGATGCGCTATAAGCACATTAAATTCGTATCAGAACAGTGGATGTACCATTAGCTTGAGCTTGCCTCCTAAGAAGATAAATGTTGTCCATAGCCTTATTACTTCACCAGAATATCTCTGTTACAAAGTGTGTTTGATTACTCCAAATTTTTAATCATTTTGTGTTTTGTTCTCTCAGTTAATGTTCAAGAAGTACGTGGAGTCTGAGAAATCTGTTGATGATGAGGAGAGAGTCGAATACGTGAAGTAGAGGGCTATGGAGTATGCAGACAGTAACAAAGCACCAATTTTTGTAGGATACTTTCATGCTAGAGAAGCAGTCAATATACAAGCTATACAAGTTGTGGAAACCATTACATTTTACAATTTTGAGCTCCTGTTAAGTTTATTGAAATCTCTAAGAAAATTGAGTCATCTCTTTCCAAATCATTTTACATCCATTGAAATCATACTTTTCTCCTTATAAAAGGTGTACCTCTCTTGCAAGTTTAAAAATTTGTTCTTTTGCACAAGAAAATGTATATCGACCAAACAGAAAAATAACCTGTAGCTTTCCATCAAGGTAAAACAAAGGATTTTATCACTACAGTACTTTCATCTTATCAATGTAAAACAAAGTATAAAGTATTTGGCACCATATTTTTTCATCTTTCATCGGATCAATGCTTTTTTTATTTTTTTTCACATCGGATCAATGCTTTTTTTTTTACCTCGGACCAATGCTTATCAACACATTTTTTCATTTATTATTATTTTTTTGTCCCGAATACATTTCTTCATCTAATTATCCAAATACATGAGCTGTATCTACAAACCAGACGGGAATAGAAGTTCCAATGAAAGAAAAAATAGCTTTGCGCTCTCTTGCGCTCCGGGAGAGCAGGTCGGCTCGCATGTTCTTGTGTCTCGGCTGGTAAGTCAGCCGGAACTCTGGGAATCCGTTCATTACCTAGGCTAGTTCTTGCAGCTCCGGTTGAAAATGTGGCCAGTCCATCGGCGTGGCAATCATCATCGTGAGTTCCTTCGAATCTGTCACAAACAAAGTACAAAATCGCTGCTGTGTCGCATGCTCTTCATTGCCCAAAGGAGGCTTAAAAGCTTTGTGTGTAGAGGTGATAATGTCTGTTGTTCCGCATGTAATCCTATGAGGTCCGTAAATCCATCATGCAATTCCAGTACCCAACCAACTCCGCATGTGCGGTCGCCCTCCTTCTATGATCCATCAACGTAGCACCAGAACGTGGCGGGTGGGATAGGTATTGAGCCTTCCTGTACTGCTTGACCTTGTACAGTGGTGGAACCAGGAAAACAATCTATCGGGTCATAATAAATTTTCAATCTAAAAAAAGTTACAAAAACTTCATTAAA